CATGCGGAATGTCAGAATTTTCCCTCACCTGGGGACTGAGATCAACTAAGTTTGTCTTTTCGATTAACTACTTTATTAAGTAATTCTAAATTATAAACACTTCTGCAAGAATATGAAAACGAACACTCAGAGTGTCAAACATAAAATAGAAAAACGTAGGAATATTTAAATAAAGAGGGTAAACATTAAAAAACTCAATGAATAATAAAATTTAATCCTTGGCCATAATTTAATTTATTATACTGCTTTAAACGAAATTCTAAAAAAATTATTCCTAAGGATTTGAAACTTCTATTAAAAAATTGGTTAAAATTTATTTACAATATTCTAAATATACAGAATGTTCCGTGAACAGAAGTATATGAGGTTATCCTGCATGCCCAATTAGACTAAAAATCATCTATTCTCCAAAGTCTGATGCTTGAATATATTCGAGATATTTCACTTTTCAGGTTCCTTCAACCTATCACAATTGTATTCCATAAATTCGTCCGTACTGCATAAAATGCTTAACATAATGTAAATTTTATTACAACAATAAAACAGCATTTTTTACGAGGGTTTGAACTATGAGGTTGTATGAACACTCTGGTTGCCGGTGTCTTTGAACAAAAAAAAAGCGCATTTGTAAGTCGGGTTCGAATACAGGACCGCTGGATTGGGACTTTACAGTGATGAGGCCGTGTCAAAGGCTAAACCCTTGCAGCCACTGACGCCTCGTAAAGCAACTTCAAAAACGCTTTGAGTTTATGTTTTTATTGTTGTTTCCTTTAACAAATAAAATACAAAATCAGTTAAATGATCAAATTTTAAGCGTTTCCAAAGTTTCTTTGTTTCAACAGTAAGTACGATTTATATTGGTTTTATAAATTCTAACTGAAAGGGCGATTATAAAAAAAGTTGTTTCTATTAATGACCTGTAAATACATCTACTCAATTTCAATTTCCCAGCTTTCAATAACGAATTATGCTCTTTAGAACAAAATTGAATGAAACAAAAACAAAAAACTTCTAAAAATAATATTGCATATTTAAATGTCCATATTCTTCAACAATGCAAGCCAAAAAGATGGACATTACAGTATATTTAATTTAATTTTTCAAAGCTAGTTGTTTTTTTTGTCCAGTTTTGTATTAAAGAATCTTTTGTTTACTTTATAAGTAAAGTAAAATAAAATAATTCCTATCGTACAGGACGCCTTAAAGTCCAATTACCTCTCAGGGACGATTGAACCACTTTTCAATACTTTTTTCATACATTTATCATTTAAAAAGCCATGGGCTCAGCCGGGATTCGAACCCAGAAGGGCGTAAATACGAGTCGACGCCCTAACTACACTGCCACATTGGTCCCCATTACCAAACAGGTGGGCACTTTGTACATTCATTTTATGAGATATTGGAGAGATATGAATAAAGTTGTTAAAGGTTGAAATCCTGAAAAGTGAAATATTTCGTTGAAATTCACCAATTTCGTGGTCCGCTTGACCAATTAGTATATTATAATTTATTAAGGTTTTTAGTTGAGATAAAAAGATGGCATAAGATGATATTGAATGATGGCAAAAAGGAGGGAAAATTCAAAGGTGCGGTTGAGATAGGAAGTTGATGTCCGAGTGGATCGAGGTCCCGATAGCTCAGGTGGTAGAGCAGCGGCGTATCAAGCCGAAGATCGTGGGTTCGAATCCCCCTCGTGCCATTTCGTTGAAAATTGAATCAGACTTTAGTCAATAGAGATTTTTTAGTCCAATTTATATGTAGGCTAACTTGCTGAAGTATTGTCTGTTGAAGGGACACCCTGCTCAATAGAAAAGACTTTTACATCTAAATGTTTCCTTGTTATCAATTTTTTGTTCAATACTTAAGTAAGAGTTTTTGTGATTCTGTAAACCCGCAAAGTTAGCGTTATCAGAAAAGTTGCTCCTATTAGCCAGTGGTATATATATGTGCTTAATATCTCTAAGGTCAGTTGTCTCTAATGTTAAATTAATATTTTATTGCTAAAATTTTGATTTTTTCACCACAAACAGGTTGAAAAATTATTCATAAGGATTTGAAACTTCTATTAAAAAATAATTATTGTAATACAATGTAAACAAAGACTTTGTACACATTTGAATAAAAAAAACTTCTAAAAATTAAATTTAACGTAATAAATTTCTACCTTTTATAAGATTACAAGTCTGACATCGCTATATTGCAGTTTTTGTGTTTTGTTTGCTAAAGGTTACAATAAAAAAAACAGGGGGTTCTATTTACATTGAGATTGACACTTTGTAAGAAATAGCGATGTTTATGGAATAAATTCGTTAAAGGTTATAGTATTATGAAAAGTGAAATATTTAGAATATATTTGATAATCTGATTTTGGACAATAGATAACTTTTAGTACAGTCCGACATAAAGGATAACCTATTGACGTCTCTCCACCTTGCACAATAGAACATACGGTTTACTCTTGAACTAATTTGTCTAAAGTTCGCGTACGATTTTCTTAGTTCCGTGAACACTGAAAGACATGGCCCTTACAGAAAAGTTGTACTCGTTCTGCTAAAGAGGTTTAAACACATGTACTTCATTTCTAAGAGGTAACTTATCACCAATGTAAAATTAAGGTTTAATTGTGAAAATTTTTATTTCTCGGCTACAAACAACAACATAAGACAAAATACAAAAGTTCTAAAAATTAAATGCTGTATTCCCCCTCGTGAAGAATGCAAGCCTGATATATAAATGTTTGTATAAATATATTTTTATATATAAATGTGTGCACAAATAAATTTATAAATAAAAAAACACATTTAACAGGTACATAAATGTATCACATGGGCGATGTCTATTACATAATTCAAAATTTTATTAATTTTAATATAGACGAAACTAATCGTAGAAAGCTCAGGGTTAGTACAAAAGCGTTATTTGTTCATCTGACCACAACCCTAATTCCCGAGATTATTACATATACAAACGCAATAAAGATGCATTGTTCAAAAGAAAACCACATTATTTTCTAGTTAATATAAATGTTCGACGAAGGAAAGGAATATTTTTATCCTAACCAAAATGGGTAATTTACCACGAAAGAACAGGCTAACTGGAACGGCACATATTAATTTTACAAGTAAACGAAGCCTCCCACGACAGACAAAGCAATTGAGTTTTACACCTGAAAGAGTCCACCGTTCATTACAAAACTTTCCTAAGTAGCAAGAAAGAAGCCCTTCCTTTTTTTCCTTTGTACAACTGACACTTTGTCTTATACGCATCACTACAATTTTTTCTCCCTTTTATTTTTTCGTTCAATCGCTGATTTGGATTGAAGATAAAGCTGAGATATTCACTTAACGAATTTCTTTTGTTGTGTTGCTAAATGAGTTTGTTGGAAGCGCGAAACTTTGCCATGCTCAACTTTCAAGAGAATATCTTAACTGTGTGTGTGTGTGTGTGTGTGTGTGTGTGTGTGTGTGTGCAAATTTCACAGTGGTTTGAAACTGAAGAAACACTGCAAGAAAAGCAAATCTTATTATGTTCATTGTTATTATAACTTCATATGGCCAGCTTTCCTGACGTTGTAATTAAAACGAGGACAAAAATATAAGAATAATATGTCCACCAAAATACTGCATATATAATTAAAGTAAATAGTTTTTATGAATGTTATTTATGAATTGAAATCTTAAAACCAATTATGTTATTATTTCTAATTTTTTTGTAGGCAACTCGATAAGCACAATTGATTAAAAATGTACAAATAAATAAGAAAATATTAAAAAAACGAAATATATGAGAAAAAGATAGTTGATAATAATTCATGAAATCTGACGCTTATATACATTAAAAATCAAACAATCCTTAACTACTACTTTTCGATAAAAAAAAATAAGATTGAATAAATATACTGATAGAGAATGGATGTTAGTTCAGATTAAGTAATTCCTCACATAAATGAAGGCTTAACGTCCAAGTCCTTCATGGCTGTCATAGATGAGTGGCCAAACCACCTTTACAATACATTTTTCATACAAATGAGGAAGATGAGGTGATTATGTTGATTCACGTTTTGTGTAGTATGGTTCTTCCCACAGATTTTAAGGTTTTAATTTTAAATCTGTTAGTAGAACCATTGTTTATACATTTACCATAGTACTATCAATTAAAAAGCAATGGACTTTTCCAGGATGCGAACCCTGAGTTAGCTATAACATCCAAGAACATTCTCAAAGAGTGGGCAAAATGTGGAAAGCAAGATTGATAGTAGAAAATTGTACCTTCTGTAAATTTGCACTGAAAAACAAATCTTGCCCACCCCACTGCTGTTCGTCAATAACAAGAAGTTACCGACTTCCAGTCAAGTATAGACTTAGAACTATACCTAGATTGCAGATGCACGTATCTCCAAGACTTAAGAAACCACAACTTAACAAAAGACTTTTAAGAATGAAATCTTCTTTGGCCGTCAAAATTCAACTAGCACAAGTCATCACTGTAGTCACTTTGAACTTAACGAAGTGGGGCTATAGAGTTCCACCAAGCCACCAATATCTGGCGCATACAATTCTTCCAACGATGAGTTTTGCTCAGACAAATTGTCAAAGCGCTTTTTGACGTTGCTATCCACAGCAATGTCAACACTCTTTTGCCAACAAACTAGATCTCGCTTCTGAAAGTTTCACATCAAGCTTTTGATCCATCCTAACCCTAGTCAAAACTACGACGGTCCCAGGGACTCTCCCCACTTCAGCTTTCCTGACTTCGAAACCCCATCATCTCAATCTGCAACTCAAGTGTGTTATTACTAGCATATATAAAGGATTAAAAGTAACAATACGCGTTGTAGACGGTTTTTAAATAGTGTAGCCTGTACAAATTACAATTATGGGCGACTATGTTTTTAATTATACCGATCACAATACTATGGCCAATACAGCAAGTCGTGCCTTCGAATCCTCGAATTTATAAATCGAAATTATGAATGAATTTAAGCAACATTTGTACGAAAGAATGATATATAAAACAAATATGTTTTTATACACACAATATGAGTGTAAAGAACTAAAACGACAACATCGGAAATGAACGGTTGCCGTCTGACGTTAAAACGTTTATATTTAGCTGGTAGGACAGCTGAGGAAGAGGGTCACTTACAATCAGTTATGATTGATGTTTGATCATTTAAAAGGGTTTGTTATCATAGTAAAACCGGCTAATGTTTGCATGCGCTTTCGCTAATTGAGATGAGTTTTTGTTTACCAAACGTCTAACTCAATTATTTTGTTGAGTTTCTTAAAGGTGACCTAGTTATAGTCCTTGTCCGAGTAAACATCGGTGATTTGTTTGCACCGAGTACGTGTGTTATTAATCAGCAGGCTTTATGAAACGGCTGTTTGTTTTTAAAACCTGAAAGCCTGAAATTATTTCAATAGAACTACTTACAATCAATTTATTTATCGTCAAACTATTTTTCTACTTTGTCATTACATTTGTTCATACTCAGCCGTAAAACAAACAAAAAATAACTGTTCATAATATCTTGTCGCACTCTGTTCAGTTAGTTCTGCTCTTAAATCTTCCACAAAGGACCTTCTAATGGAAATATCAACCGTTTAGCAGGCACAGGCTGAATACAAATCGTCCTTCTTGGACCTGGGATATTTATATGCTGGGCCTACCGAGGATCTCTCCCCTACGCTTTTATTCAACCGGCAGTAATTTAATAATGGATTCGCAAATTGCGCCATGGTACGATTCATTTCGTTCCCTTCGAATTGTTCACCTCACACACTTCGATGTTTCAGGTAACACATTCATGTAATATAAATGGTTATATTTGTTGAACATCTCGATCTAATGTACTAAACAAAACCATGTCATTCTGTCTTCAAAAATGATAAACCTTATTTTTCTGGATAAACTTTACTCCGTATTACGTATTAGGTATTACAGATAATTTATTCAGTTTAAAGATAAAACGTCGTTCGATTCAAACAATTTATTCAACATTTAGATTGAAAAAAAAGTATTCCGCGGAATTTGAATTCATTTAGATATCGTTCCGGGCTATAAAACCCATCTTCCGCATTCCAAGCGTATAATTTTGAGATATAGGAACCAGCAATCAATACTGTCCATGGCAAATACATAAAACAGCAACAACAGTGTGAAAAACGAAAAAAAAAACATATACACTGAAAATGTCAGCACTATAAAATTGAGTTAAGGCAGTTGCTCCGTAGAAGTTAGGAAAAGGAAAAATCTAAGTGACCGCATGGCTGAAAGGAAGGCGAAAAACCAATAAAACCATCCCTAACCAATTATTCAACAGAATCTAAGCGCTGCTCTTAATGAAAATAAACTTTTTAAATGGATTTGTCCAAGTTTATTATCCATCAATCACAACTGGATCACAACAAACAATTTCCAAAGGATGACTGATGATTTTAAAATTAATAAATATACTGTGAATTTATTTTGTTTAATTTAGAATTAGAGGGTCTGGTGGTTAAGGCAAATTACTTAAAATATATCGTTTAATTGTTTCAGTAAGTACAATTTATTCCACTACGCACTAGTAACTGTGAAACGTGTGATCACTTATCATAGTACAAGTCAAAGTGTGGCCTACCAACGAGGCTTAAAGCACTTTTGAAACCCAACAGAAATTATGGAAAAAATTGGTTGGATACTACTGCTTGCATACTAACTATTGATTGGACCCACCAAACTAGGTTAGTTGTTATATGTAAAAGATATTCCCAAGACTCGCCATTTATTTTAACTGGATTCGAACGTCGAGGGACTGGCGAAATAGAAAATACTCCAAAGATTCGCCGTTTCGTTTATGTATAAATACGGTTTGAAGGTATTAAAGAATTTATTAGCGTGAGTGTTTAAGTATGTGTGGATGGGTGTGTGGAATATAATGTACTCCGCAGGCTCACCAAAGTAGGTTAATTATTACTCTTTTTTTTTTTTTTAGAGTGATAGAGGATGAGACACAGCCATAATATCAAATATCCCGGTGACGCGACAATTTTTTAACTGTAATACTGAACGATAAATTTTTGTATGAGAAGATTTATTACTGTGAATAATTGTGGGATCACAGTGAAATATTGAGTACTCGAGTACTACCTAACGTATTTGTTGCTTAAGCGTTATTACCGAACAAAATCTTTTATGAGAAAAAATAACGTACCGCAATTTCTTTTGCATCTTTGCCCACGTGTAATAAGCGCTTTTATTCCGCTGACATAAAAATCTTTGTCTCGACACAATAAAGTCTTGGAAGTCGTTTTCGGCTTCACCGCGTTCTCAAAAGTTTATCCCTCAAGAAATAATCAAAATGCATAAAAAAGTGCAAGTTTGTAGGCGACAGGTCGGGTTTCTGCAGGGTTGGCATTGCGACATGTCCCCAAGAGTTATCGTGAAGGAGAATCGACCACTTACGGTTTACCAATGTTGGACAAAGACGTTGCAGTTGTCTCTTGTCAATATTTTTGTCTTGTGATAGTTTCACCATAATTCAGGAAATTATAGTGAACAACCCCAGCAGTACACCACTAAACTTTTTTTGGGTGCAGAATTGTTTCGGTACGTGCTTTGGCGCTTCTTCTTTGTCCAACTACTGACCTGTGAACCTCCTGTTATCTTACAGCGTCCATTTCTCATCTCACGTGATCATTCGATCGAAAAATGGATCATTTTTGTTGGCGCAACAGAAGAGCCGTGCAAATTTCAGAGCATCGATTTCTTTGAACTTCGGTTAGTTCGTGCGATACCCACTTATCGAGCTTCTTTACTTTACAAATTTGCTCCAGATGGTAAACAACGGTTGAGTGGTCAACACAAAGCTCTTCCGCGATTTACCTTTTGTCATATGTGAATATTATTCATTGTTTCGTTTTGACTTTGTCATCGTCCACAATCACGTCACAATCGTCCTACCGCGAATTTACCTATAATCGAGAACGAAATCTGTAGAACGAAATTTCTGAAACCATCGCTGCACCGTGCATTTACTAATGCTTTTCTCCCCCTAAACTGTATTGACTGGTTTAGGCCGCACTTCGCCCAAGTTTAAATTTGACGAAAATCTACTTTGAACATATTTAATTTTGCAGGTACTCACTCTTAAGAAATTCGATAAAAACGAAAATGTTTTGTACAGAAGATAACAGTTAAAAGTATTTATGATAATCCATAAATCAGATTTGAAGAGTTAGCATTGTTTACAGGACAATCACCTGCTAAAATAAAACAAACCTTCAAAACCTCCACTGATTTTGTACCAAACCAATATGTTATTTCAATACCCAATGAATGCAGATTTTAAGCTCAGTCTCACTCCAGTCGAATTCATTCATAAAAACATTCTTTCTTGTTTAAACACTATGGACTTTTGTAGAGTGATGAAGTACTCGATATTTCTCTATCACATTTCCCACGTACTAATCATATTAAATTGAGGGTCAGTGGGGTACTCAATAGTATTAAATAATAATATCAACTCACTGAAATTTAAATAAAGAAGAGCGTAATGTATAATCTACTATCGACCCTACGCACACAATATACTCACTTTTAATATATAAAAATGCTAAAACCAAGCAATATGTATATTAAAACAGCCCTGTTTCCTCCCAAAATCAGATTACGGACTCAAATACTTGATGCCGTTGACTCTGGGCGAGTGGTTAAGCCGTCCCACTCGTAGCCACGCTAGTCGTCCTGAGTTTGAATCGCTGCACAGTGCATGTTCTTTTAATATTGAATAGAGTGAAAGGAGTATTGTAAAGTCTCCTCGTCTACGACACCAAACGGATAGTTAACCTCTCCGTATGACAGGTATTACTAGAATTTTCGTACTAAGTGCCGTGCTCGAGAAGAATATGCATATCGAATGGCATTCCTACTCGCTTTCTGTATGGATCCAAGGAATGGAACCCTTCAAATAAGTGGCCCACATTGAGTAACATTTGCCTTCGTGGGCTATTGGCTCATAAATGTCAACCTATTGCCACTTCTTCGTCTGGTTGCTAAGATCCCTTTTCTTTGAATCATATCTTCCGACGGCCAGTATCAACCATGTTGGCTTCTCGGCTTTTATATCGTTGTTAATACCACAGGACCGTATCGTGGTCATTGGGTGTGAAGGTTCCCGGCTTCGTCCATATTTTCAGATAAAATATACAAATTTTACTAAATATGGCTATATAAACGTATTTTCGGAATTATTTTGAACGAAAATTAGTTTGCAATAATATTCCAATTGACCAAAAGGGCAACAAAACGGTTTTCCTAATTTTATAATTGCGTTAGAAATCTGAATAAAGGATTAACACTTTCATTAAAAATACAAAAATGTGACTTGGCATTGTGCCCTTACATTTTCCGAAAAACAATGAGTTTATGAGGCGTCCATTCGTTCGAATACCACCTCGCTATTCTTTAATCAGTTCTTCGATTTAGGGCGATGGAAGTGTTTATCAACAAGCTTAATAAAAATAAACGAGATATCATTGAAAAAATTACCCATTTATGCTTAAAATATATTACAATTAATTAAGGTTTTTAGTTGAGATGGAAATAGTTAATGGCACGAGCGGGATTCGAACCCGCGATCTTCGGCTAGATACGCCGCTGCTCTACCACTTGAGCTATCGTGAGCTCGATCCTCTCGGACACCAACTTCCCATCTCAACCCCACCTTATGAGTTTTCCCTCCTTTTTGCCATTTTTCAAATGTCGTGTAATCGGATTAGATTCTCGACGATAAATGAAATGGCCATGGAGAGCATTAGTGAAGTATACTTCATTTGAATTCATTAAATTCACTAATTTCGTGGTCCGCTTGACCAATTAATACATTACAATTAATTGAAAAAAGGCAAAAAAAGGGAAAACTCATAAGGTGGGGTTGGGACGGGAAGTTGATGTCCGAGTGGATCGAGGTCACGATAGCTCAAGTGGTAGAGCAGCGGCGTATCTAGCCTAAGATCGTGGGTTCGAATCCCGCTCGTGCCATTAACTTTTTTCATCTCAACTAAAAACCTTAATTAATTGTAATGCATTAATTGATCAAGCGGACCACGAAATTAGTGAACTTAAAATATATATTGACGATAGGTGGTAGTGATCGTTATGCTATTATAAAAATTTATATTATTAAGAAAAATGCAATTTTAAAAAATTGTCAAATAAATTCATTCAACATAATCACTGATTCACTGTTAAATATTGTTCCCTATCAATCATTCATTGGTTGTAATTATTTAAATGCAAAATCAAGTGCAATAGCAAGTATATTTATTGAGAGATTTCTCCGTGCGGACGGCGGAGAGATGAACACCGAATTTGGGTCCTTATCAATCATTTTGACCTGTCTATCGTAGCTAGTTTGGTTTGCCGTTTCGCCATTTCCCTATTTTTAATTGTTGCATCTGCGTAAATTTAGTTTATGTTTTGTAAATTCCATGACAAAAAGCACCGAACACTCGTATTTTATTGTTTGTAGTTATTCAGATATCGTGAGATGCGGTCGGGTGTGATGTAGGTTTCAGAAAAACATTTTCTTTATCGTGCCATCGTTTCACTCTCGACACGACATGCAAGGATGGTACAATTACACAGAAGACAAACACTTTGAGCCCTGAAGATGATCTCAATAAAAGATCGAAACGTTGGCACGATAAAGAAAATGTTTTTCTGAAACCTACATCACACCCGACCGCATCTCACGATATCTGAATAACTATTGATTAACGGTCACTAATCTCTACACATTTATTGTTTATTCCAAATTATGTGTATTTTATCGTAATATTAATTATAGCATACTTACTTTAATATAAACCAAATTACACAAGATCTGAAATCAAGTGTTAGTAAAACTTATTTAATTTCGATGGTTAAAAGAACATTTACCAAAACCCCACGCCCTCGGATTGGGCAAACGTGAGAAGTCACTGCCTGTGTATGAGTGGCTTGTACTCCAAACCTCACACGATTAACACTGACCACATCTGAGCAGAGGTGTATCGCTCCTATCTTGAGAATCTAAACGTGTGATAAGGCCATGTGCCAGGTGTGCACGTTAAAGAACCTCATTGTCATTCTGTTGACTCGGCGTCCCAAAATGGGAACCATATGTACCTTAGTGCAGTGAAAGATCTATTCTGTAAGATAATCATTTTCGTACGTGGCATGGATGTTGATTTCATCCCACTGACTGTCTTTGAATAGGCTGTGGCACACTCTGAGCACATGAAGCAAAGCGTTCTCCACGTCTTCCCGCACAGTCCCAGTCATCTGATTGGCACAAACAAAACCGGCACTTATCTCTAAGCCTTCCATTGTTCAAATGTCCACGCGAGATGCTGATTTGCAAATAGTCAGTCGCCTTTCTGTACAGTAGTAGAGAACCTGATGCGGAACGGCTAGATATTAGGCTATACTCACGAAGCCTTCTGATGACTGTTTTCGAACTCACCTTAAGATTACAGATAGTTTAGAGTTGACTACCTATTAAGGAATTCGTTACATAGCAGTTTCGTAATGCGGGAAGAGCAATAAAACGATCGTTTTTAACCGTCGTACATCGCGATCTATCTTTTCTGCAATTGAGACTTCCTCTGATTATCGTGAGCACGGCACACAGTACGCCTGTCGTTGGTCAAAGCATCTGCCCGGGCGAGATTTTCTTGACTTAAGCCATTCTTTTCAGAGA